TGCAGGCAAGTTGACGTGACCAAAGGCATAAGGTACATTAGTGGTGGTGTTGCAATTCACCTCCACGCCTTGCTGAAAGCATAAAACAGTTTTTAGTACAGTTGACACAAGTTGCACAATCCTCAGTTGGGGCTACATTAGTAACTTTTAAGGAAAACATTTCCCTGTCCTTTAGAGTTACCACAGGTCTCCAGTTATAAATATCAGGCCCATATTGTTTTCTTAGCTTTTCTAAATGTCAAAAGGCCTCCATGTGCTCCTTTTGTGAAGATAACTGAGATCATTCACCTGGAGGGAAGAGTTCCCAGTGGACAAAAGAAGGTGGTAACAAACTTGGATACTTTGATATCAGATTTTTTGTTGTTAATCCTCACTCAAGGATATTTTTCCACTGATTTTCTACAGAGTGGAAGGGAGGGGAACAGACACAGAGAGAGGAATATTGATGTGAGAGAGACACATGCAACTGAGGTACATGCCCTTGACCGGAATTGAACCTGTGACCCTTCAGTCAGTGGGCCAACCCTCTATCCACTGAGCCAAACCAGCCAGGGCTGGGATTATATACACTAGTATATATATTTTTAATTTTAATTGATTTCAAAGAGGAAGGGAGAGGAAGAGAGATAGAAACATCAATGATGAGAGAGAATCACCAATGGTCTGCCTTCTGCATGCCCCCCACTGGGGATGGAGTCAAGAATCCTGGCCATGTGCCCTTGATGGGAATCAAACCTGGGACCCTTCAGTCTGCAGGCCAATGCTCTATCCACTGAGCCAAACCGGCCAGGGCTGGGATCATATTTTTAAAAAGAGCTTTAGATCTGGATTATGACAGTGGAACCCTGGGTCTTGTAAACATTGATCAATAAGACAGGCAAAAGGTAATTTTTCAATGTTATTTTAAAAATGTCTAATGAGGCTGAGCATGTTTTCATATGTTTACTGGCCATTGATGAATTGCCTCCTTATGTCCTTTGTTCTATTTTTCTTTTCATTTCCCCCCCCCTTATTGATTTGTAAGCATTCTTTCTTGAGGCAGGTTTTAGGCAAGTTGAGTTTTAGATAATAGATGTGAGAAAAATGTCCAGTAAGCATTGAAAACTCAGGATGAGGTCTCCAAGGAAAGAGACCTTGGAGCAAAAGCATATTACTGATTCATAGCTCAGGGAGGAAAAGGATCCAGCAGAGGCAAAACAGTATTCAGAGTGACCTAGAAAAACATGTCCTCATGTGACCCTTAGCCACCAACGTTCTTTTACTACACAGTTTAGTGTGGCC